CCTTCCTCCGAGATCGACCCGAGTCGGGTAACTCGGTTATCCTTTGCCCATCATATTTATACTAAACACTTGGGAATAGCTCGGCCATGATGAGCGCTTTTGGGTTGTCGCTTGCATGAAGAAATATGACGATATAGGATGGCCCGTCAGGTTTGTCATTGTGGTGGACCAACAATAGTGGATTGATGGCTTTGAGGTATAGTTCGGCGTCTTTTTGGTGTACATTGGCGTCGATCGAGTATAGATCGCCCAAAAAATGTTGGCGATTCAGGTTTTCAAAGCCCAAACTCTTTGTATATCAAAAAATTGAGATTTTTTATTTTTTTTTTTTAAGAAAGAAACGAATATGGCAGCGAAAATGAAGAGATCGTAAAATTGTGCGATTGATACCAATGTTAGCTTGTAAAAGCCTCACAAAATCGATGTTGAAGTACAAAGGGAAAGAGGAACTCGCGAGCAAAGGAAAATAACTTGTATTGAAGAATCATAAAAGTGAATAGTGAATTAGAGTTCTCACCCCTCTATCACATTGCCTTTGCGTTCCCTACATGAAGCCATATAACAAACACAAACTGAACTTCAAAAGTTTGTTGTTTATTGGATATAGTCCATTCCTAGAAGGTTTATAGGTTTTTTTATTGCCTGATAAGAGAGTTATTATTACAAGACATTTGGTTTTCTCATACAAATTATGTTGTAATTGTTTTCATTTCAGAGTAAGTAACTTATTTGATTTTGCTTATGTTTCTCCTGGTCAAGTGTACTATTAGAAACATAGTAAGGAAAAAAAAAAAACACTAGAGAACTGAAATAGCCATAGGACTTCGGACAACATGAATTCCATCAGACCACGAGTACCATCCGAACAAATATTCACCTTTCCCAACAATCCCCGAAAATGCACTGTCCGTTTTTACGGTGATGGTGAAACTTTTCTTCTCACCGGCACGGACAAAGTTGAGCACGCGCGGTTGTATTTGTACCAAAATACCCTGTGGAGATTGGACTTTGGACAAATAGACTCCCTTACCACCCCCAACATTCGTGACTGTCCTAACGACGGTAACCGTGCCTTTTAGGTCAGGTATGGCCAGCGATGGGTAGTTCAGATTATAAGGAGGTGGTGGGTTATCCGGGCACTTTGTAGAACTAATATTGTGAATCCCAATGCTGCATAGGAAGAGAAGATAGTCGTTGTATGAAGCATTGTAGACGAGTCCTGGGTCGACTGCCTTTGTCGGGTTGAAATAACCCGACCCGATCATGAATGGGGTGGCCGTGTCGTTGTAATTAGTAGTGATGGGGTTGCCCTCGTTGTTTAGTTGTCCCGCTGAAAAGCAATCAAAACTTAATCAACATAAAGATATATATAAGTAAGGGTGAAACATTGACCGTAATATGTGCTTTTGAACTGTGTAATCTATATTATTTCTCATGGTAAAATGTAACTAGAACTTCATGAACATTCATAATTCGCACATTCGCCTACTTATTGATAATATGATCATCCGGTCATGTTTATAGTCAAGATGCAGGCGAGCGTGCAATTTATGAATGTTCATGAAGTTCAGGCTGCATTTTACAACGAAAAATAGTGTGGGTAGCAAAGCTAGTTCAGGCTGCATTTTACAATAAAAAATAGTGTGGGTAGCAAAGCTCCGAAGCACGTATAGTACATGTTCGAAAAAAAATTATTTAATTATCATTTTGTGCACAATTAATGGATCAAAGTTTTGAGCACCGGTTGTCATGAGGGCAGATCGTACGGCAGCACTGCTCCAATCCGGGTGCACGGCCTTGAGAAGTGCCATTGCGCCGGCTACATGTGGGCAAGCCATTGAAGTGCTCGACCTAAAGCCATATTTGACATCACCATACTTACGAGATGCTTCTGACCATGCTGCTAATATATCATCCCCTGGAGCCGTGATGTCTGGCTGCAGCGAAAAACGAGCAAATAATCATCCAATTCTCGGTTTACCATACTAGTTTTTGGTACTATTGCACTTGTAGTTCGACAGCTCTTAGTGAATAACATTAGATTTTTATTCTTTATTACCTTTTTTTTTGTTTCAAAGTTTGAGTGCATTGATCGATTCTCGACAATTTGATAATGATTGATTACCTTGAGAATATAGGGTGTGGCTGCATTGGGACCTCTGCTGGAGAAAGTATTCGCTATAGGCGCTGGTTTGGTGCCTAAAATTGTCTTAGCTGACGCGATTTTGGCCGTTGGTTTTTTCGCGGTCTTGATGTATTTCCTGATATTGAGGGCATTGGTGTAACCCACTGTTGTGATCGGAATAACAGAGGCGTAGCCCGGTAAAAAAAAAGGGTTCCCATCGGCTTCACAATTTCCTAGGATGACACCAATTCCTCCGGCTCTTTTCACCTCAATGGCTCTATCAGAGTCGTATTCGGTGTCTGTGGAACACAATACGATTTTTCCCTTAACTTTTGGGGGAGAAAGGGAACCTTCTAAACATAGCCTGCAGAAAAACTCGAGCAAATACAACTCAGTAAGTAACATGTTATGCGACGACTGAACTTGACGAGTCTGATTACAATGCTTCTACTTATCTAGCACGAAGACGAACATAAAAATAGAAATTATTGTGTGAGACAGCTAACTATTAGGGGGTTCACTCGACATATTCTGCGAACAGAAATGCATATTTATATTATTAAATGTTATATATTTATTTGTGTGTTGGTTTTAATGTATTGACTTTTTTCAAATGATAACATGAGAAAGAGGCTTAACCTGGATTCGTTTTTCGGCACGCCAGAGTTGATTACTTGATCTGCCGAAACTAAACGGTAAAACTTGTTTTCTAATTTATATTTACTCATTGACTCGCCCTGAAACGCCGACAAAATGAAATAAGAATAACTTGGTGTGTTAAAGTTATATGTAATTAATTCTACCATTTTCTAAGATTGATATGTTATGTTACATTAATGAAACTTGGTATGTTAAGTTATAAAGTTCTCAAGTTTTAGCATGCTCATCGGAGTAGAGGGCATATTAAATGACAACAATTTTTTTTCAATTTTAGTCCTTTAACTTGACTATATTTTTATTCGGTTTGTTAATTTTTCTAATTTTAATTTTGGTTCGTTCAATTGCAATTTTTATCGATTTCGATCCATTAATCAAACCCGACCAAATTAGAAATGAGTGGCCCGATAACATTTGTCTATGTGATTTGATTGGATGATGTGACTTGAAAAATAAAACATATAATAAAATAACAAACAATAATTTCTTATATTGACTTTTTTTTAATATAAGGATTAAATAAATATTTTATGAATAAATTTGTAATTTAGATGCTTTTGACATTATAAAAAATTATCCATATCATCAACTTTTGAAAGTGTGTTATTAATTTATTCTCCAATGTATTTTGACATGAATTTTTTATGACATTTAATGTTGACAATTTTGAGCTCATTTCCTAATATCTAAAATCATGTTAAACATGATGACTCATTAATTAACTTTATATTTTTTACTTTTCTTCTATCAATGAACTGTTTTAATTGCTTCACCTATACAAATATCTCCTATCAAATTGATGCATTGAAAATACTAGTTTGATTAAAGAATTATGCTACTAGCCAACTTCCATTACAACTTGGTTTACAACCAAGTGTAATGGAGGCATTAAAGAAGCATTTTTTAATGCCTCCATTACACTTGGTTGTAAACCAAGTTGTAATGGAGGTGGGCAATGTAGCATAACCCTTGATTAAAATTTTTAGTTTTTTTTTTACCATTATACCTATGTGGATTAACATTACATCATTGACTGATATGTGTTAAAAATTATTATCTTTCAAAGTCATTGCATTGGAGATGCTCTTAGGATATCATACTTGGTGAGCGTCAACATAGTTAAAATAATATGATTAATGTAGCGAACTAATTTTCAAATTCGACGAAATCAAAATAAGCATAATTCTACTAGTTAAAGATTACCGGAATAGTCAACCCGGTTCCGAGCACAATATTCGACGTAAACTTTCGGTCTATGATGCTCGATCCCACAGTGATCAGCCACGGGGCCAAATTAACCACGGTGGCCGGATCGGGGCCATCATCCCCCGCGCTGGCCGCTATGACAATGTTCGCCTTGGCGGCATGGAGGGTGACGGCTGAGACGAGGTCCTGATTTAGCGGCATGAAGGCATCGGATCCGTACGACATGCTCAGGATGTGGACCCCATCGCTGATAGCATCGTCGACGGCGGCGAGGCTATCCGCCGGCACGAGTACTGTGTCGTATTCGCCGATCAACCATATCACCTTGTAGATGGCGAGTCGGGCGAGCGGGGCACCGCCAGTGGCAGTTCCCCGGGCGAACCCGTAGGGTGACGAGACGTTGTCGACCCGACGCCCAGCGGCTATGGATGATGTCAAAGTCCCGTGCGCTAACATGTCGCGGGCCGAACGGGAATCAAACGTTCGATTCAACGGGCCGTATTCTGCTTCGAAGCCCTTCAGGTAGTACCGGGCACCGACGATCTTCCTAATCGCGATACCGATTTGGTTTATGAGTATAAAATTTTGTATAGAAACGTTGAAAAATATATACAATATAATAATACTACTTTGACATAAAGAACAGCAAAAGAAAAAAATGATGTGAATGTTAAATCATTGTTGATTTTAAAGTTAACGACAAACAACCCCAAAATTCTGTTATGCTTTCTTTTACACACCACATATTCAAAATACTTCTTTTTCAAACTAGATTGTGCGAAACAAGATCACATAACTGATCGCACAATGGTCGCACAATCGATCGCATCTTGCAAGGTGAAAATAGATATTTTCACTAAAAACAACAATGTGAAGCACACGTTATTATTTTAAACTTTATTAGAGCACTAAGGATTTACCTGTTACAAGTTGAAGAGTTGAAAGTATCCCCATGTTGACAAACTCCTTTCCAGGATTTTGGTACAGCTTCCATCCCATCATCACTGAAGCTCTGTGACTCTGGCCATATGCCTTATCAAACCATAAATTTCCAATTAAAATCATACGAGACAATTCTTAAATTAATGTTCGACACATTCATATATCCAATTAAACACATTATTATTTTGAGTTCTAAAATTAATGTTCACTAGTTTAGTGATATTTTTAACGAGGATGTATTTTATTAAAATAGCAATATAATTTATATTAGTATTTGTGAAAATGATAGCATCATGTAATACTAAAAATAACATCATATACTATTAAAAATAGCAACAAATATGATTCTCACGGTTCTCACACAAGGACTAGTTTTTATTCGCACCAGCCTTTTATATATATATATATATATATGTATATATATATATATATATATATAATGTTCATGATAACAGGCTCATTATATTTCAATTGTCGATAATAGTATAATACCTGTGTCTAGCATCCCAATAATGACATCATTGCCGTATTTGGATTTCAACCATAAGTTGTCCTTGTCGTTGGCATCCATCGGCATGTGTAAACTGGAAAACTCCCATGATCTCGTCGTATGTATAGTGTATTTTTGTCCATGGCTCCGAAACACGGACACCACGCCCTCCATCTCTGTTGAAAATCCGAAGCACAAACCACCATCAACACGCAATATAAATATATATGTATATATATATATAATTTGAGCGAAAAAAATGGAGATTTAGTTCTGTAACTAACTGACATCAAATTGATAAATAGTCACGTGATTGCGCTTTTCCTAGTAGAAGGACCTAAAATTCACGTTTTTTTATGGTGTTTTTGGTAAAATCAACGCTATCACTGGATTATTTATCGATTTGGTGTTAGTTACAGACTAAATATACCTTTTTTTTTCTCTAAATTGAACTGTAACAAGACACTTGAATTAAATTTCTCGCCCACCGGAAAGTTTAAGAGCTTCATGCGGCGTAAGAAGCGCGGCAAACCCACCGATATTCTTGTAACTATAAAGAATAGAAGATTTTGCATCTTCCTCGTTTTCTTTCACGGATAACAAATACGAATGGTGTTGATCTTCGATTTCTTCGGCTGTTCTACTCTTATCATCATCACCCAGAAGGACAATGTGTACCTATAAATAAATATTACTTATATACCTTCATCAATATTAAAAATTAAAAGAAAAAAAAAGATGCATTAGAAATAATTAAGAACCTTTTTCTCCTCATCAGTAGATTTAGCCAAAAAAGGAAGTAGAAGGAAGAGAACAATGAACAAGTTGAAATACTCCATAGTTACAGAAAAAAAAAAATAATAATAATAATAATAATAATAAATAAAAGATATATTGTATGAATGGGATGCATAATATTGAACTGATAAGTTGAGTATTTAAAGGAATTTTTATGTTAGACAATAAGACAAAGGCTTAGAGAATAGTGGACAGCTGGCTGATTTATAATTAACTCACGGATTGAGTTAATTAACTAGTTGATTGGTTAGCTTAATTCACTGATTGAGCTAAATGAATTAGCTAGTTGATTGGTTAGTTTGGCTGATTTAATTAAGTGAGAATGGTCATTACATTACAATAAAATGATGGAATTCCAATGAAAAAATTTTAACGGAAATATATTTCAATGGAATTCCAATGACAGATCAAATAGATATTCCAATGTTATTATTTTTGGTAGAATTTTTCAATGAATTAAAAACGAAAATTTCAACAAAAATATTCCGTTGGATGAATATACTATTGGAATTTTTATATTTTTTTACGATTCCAACTGTAGATTTTCCAACGGGTGTAAAAAATAAAAATTCCAATGAAAATTGCATATTCCAACGGAAATTCCTACGATAAAAAACTGTTGGAAAAATAGTTGTTGGAATCATTAAATTCTATCTAAAATTCCAATGAGAAACTCATTCCAAAAAAATATTTTAATTGGAATTTCTGTTAGAATCATTCCAACGGAATCTATACTGTTAGAACATTGGTTTGGCATCATGTCCGACAAACCTAAGTGTTTTCTAGAAGATTTCTTGTTAAGCAAGCAAAATAAATTCAAGGGAAGTTTTTCTATGTATTTACTTATGATTTAATTAAGTTCCTAATATTTATTATTAATAATATATGGTATATATTTATTGTAGTATGTATTATGGAATCCTAATCCTTTAGGAGAAGGATTACATAATATATATCCTATATATTTACTTACAATGTATGCCACATGCCATAATTAGTTCTCTTTTGCTTGTAGGACAAGGAATAGATGGCAAGGACTATGAAAGGATGAGCTTTCCATACAAGAAGAGTTCTGGACGTTCATGAGAAGATCTAAGGAGGATTTGGAAAGATTCACCACAAGATCTTTGAAGATTTGGAAGATCGGCTATTTTTGGAAAGTCATGTTCTTACCAGATTCTTGGAACGTGTTTTTCCATTGGAAGCTCAATTCTGAAGATCTCCAAATCACATGCACGATTTCTACGTCAAGGAAACTTACCTTACATGAAGGATTTCGTCCAAATCAGAAAGGAATCAATTGAGAAGGAAATTGACTCCTAAAAGGTAAAGGAAGAACTGTGAAAACTCCTTACCTTAAGGAGGTTGTATATAAGCCTACTCAAGCAATCAATTGAACACAAGAGAGCTGCTGCAAATCAAGTTCATCATTCATCAGCTTCAATTGAGTGTTTGAGAGTTTCTATTATTTTTATTTTATTCGGTCCAGTTTTTCAGCGTTCTTACATTGCTGAAGAACTGAACTCGTTTTGTTTCTTTTCTTTTACAAACACTTTATTTTAGTGCTTAGGGATTAAGTACTGGGTTTTGCTCGAGGGATTCGAGTGTGTAAAGTCCACGGGACGTGGCCGGAGAAGTAGTTGATAGGATCGTGTGTAGTTGTGGCTAGACTAGAAGGGAGTTCGAGTCGTGTAAGTCCAAACTATACAAGTGTGAACGGTTTATCAATGAAAGAGCTCTGAGGGGAAGTGGGACGCTTCCCTGAAAGTTTTAAAATCTTCGGTTTATTGCTTCAGCTATTTACGTTGTTTATCCACGTTCGGACTACATTTCGCGCACTCGCAAGTAATTATACGTTTTATATACCATTGGAATATTTGTTGAAATTTTAACTGGAATATATTACCGTAGGATTTCTCGTTGGAATATTACAATTTTTTTGTAGTGTGAATGAATGGTTGATTGATATTAACTGAATAACTAGTTTGATATGTAAATATCTATATATAATTGTAAACTGTTACATTACATTAGCGTACGATTTTCCGCCCAAACTCATTTTTCTCTCACTGTGGTAAGTTCTAATTTCTTTTTACTTTGTTCTAGTTTCTTTTTGCTTTGTGTTTATATCTTTAATTTTGTAATAAATATTGTAATATTAAAAAAAAATAAAATTGTAATGATTAAATTTATAAACTAATTCAATGTGTTATTGTTATATTTGTTATAGGTCAATATTTAGGAATAATTGATTTTTAATAAAAAAATTATATTAACAATTGTGAGTGGAAAAATGAAGGGGGAAAAAGATCAATGAAATGAAAATACATCCAATTGCACATTCTCTCGTCTTATTTCTATTCACACTTTCAATTTACTTCATTTTCGAAAGCAATGCGTTTACATACTTACATATACATAAATGCATTACTTTTATTTATGAGAAATATCACATTTTAGTCCATTAGTTTGACATTATTGCAAAATGGTTCATTAGGTTAACAATTTCATCCAATTCAATGTAGGGGTGGCCAAAATATCAACCGGGGTCGGGCTTTAAAACAAGACCCGGAACCGACACGGATCTAGACTCCTGCCAAGGCCATGGCCAAATAAATAAATAAAAACAATTCGAATCTTGTTGACTTTTTGGGCTGGACCGGACCTGGCCCAGCGGGTCGAGAAGAACATGTCCCTGACTCGGCTGGGTTAAAATTTGAGTCGGCCCAAACATGTGGTCAACGAGTTTGACCAGGCCAGGTCTGTGCTGGGCCGGTTGGCCACCTCTAACTTTTGACGAAAAATATTAATTTGGCAACGAAAAATTACGAATTTTAAGGATATTAGTTAGCATGACATTTTTTTTTTTCAAACGGCATAAACATACTCATAAAAAAGCCAAAAAGCCAATGTATACAGTCGAGCCTGAAGCCGGGAAATGGAAGGTTACACACACAACTAATGCAACCTAGACGGAATACTAACTAGCAAAGCTAGACTGACCAACACACTACGACACCAACACCAAACTAGAACCACAAAAGAAATAAAAAAATAAAAATACCCCAATAGGGTAATACCTGAGTGTAAACTCCCAACATGAGAACACACTCAGGCCCAGACCGGGGCCAACGGCCCAAACCAAAGACACATAGATCACACCAACACAAACACAACGATCACACAACAAAGAAAAACAGAAACATAAACAAAAATAAACGAAAACGGAGCCCTTCCCTTGCGAACCAAACTAAGCTCCACCAGCAATGAATGACCGACACAAAGAAAACCTCGAGCACGAGAACCGCTACCGAAACTGCACGAACGCCTATACAACAGGTGAACTCAACCCCCGAGACAATCCCGAATCGACATCTCTAACCGAGAGAGCCCCAACCAACCCCCACGCCAGCCTCACCAAACTCGTCTAACACCACTAGCCAAGCTCGATAGGAATCCCTCGTCATCTAACACCACTAGCCGACCAAGGAACACAGACGACGAGGCTTTCAGAGCCCCGCCCCACCCTCGAAGAACCGCACACCCTCCCACACCACCGGCGTCATCGGCGACCAAATCCAAACCCCCACCTGAGGCCCTTCCAAAAAGAAAAGCCGATAGAAGAAGACTCGGAATAGATCGTGGAACATACCTACAACAATAGAAGACCCAACGGCATGCGGGACGCCAATCGTCGACCAAGCGAAGATTGGGCTCACCACCGCTAGTCCCGCCGGCAACCGAGGTCTGGCCACCAAACACCGACAACCACAGCGACATCCAAAACGTCGTTTATTTGGTTAATGGTTTAATTTTTTTTTTCGAAACGATATTCATATAACAAAACACATACTTACACCTGGCTAACTAGCCAGAAAAGAGAGGCCTACCACCATGTGGTAGCCCAATACATAGAACAATACAAAACAACACAAAAACTAAAACTCCACTAATGGATAATACACGCTTCCCAACGGGAGAAAAACACAAACTCACACTAACAGAACTAAACAAACACTAACACAGAAACAAAATCCTAAAAAACAAGAGCTAAAACAACTATGGCCCTCCCCACCGGACGAGAAAACCCAAAACCACCACACTCTGGGCAAACACCCATTGCGAAATACGAGAAAACTCACAAGGTCCACGACCCAAACACAACAGATCCAGAAACTCCCATAATGGGCTAATCAGATCCAGACCACAAACCTCGATCGCCCCTCCCGATACTCCACAGACCCAAACCCCGACCGGACCACTCCACAGTCCTCCCCCCCAATGCATACGCCGGACCCGCCGCACCACTGCACAACCGCTGCCGGAGGCCCTATCTCCAAACACCAGGGAATGTTCAGCAAAGGGGGAAACCATGGCTAGACCGCCGCCATCGACCGTCGCAAGGATGCCCTCGACGTCCACCGAACAACAGCCGCTAGCGTCGCCCGCCTTTCCTCGCCCGCCATGGCAATCGCTGCAAAATTGGGACCACTCGAGGAGGAGGAGACTAGAGACGGCACAGTCATGCCGCTGGGCCTAGGAAGAGCCAGATGCTCGCCGGAATGAGGGAGATCTAGGGCCGCCGGAGGAGAGGTATCCGCTGGGGTGAAGATCGACTAGGGCAAGATTTGGTTAATGGTTGATAAAGTTAAAATGACAATTAAAAAGAACATGACCAACAGGGGTTGACTCAAATGGTAAGCAACTTGATGTCGCTTAAGCAAGGTCTCGGGTTCGAGTCTTTGTGGTTGCAGAAAACCCTTGTTGGGAGACTCACCCACCACTGCCAGGTGTGCGACCCGAGTCGACCAACAGATTAGTCGGGGCATAGCTCCGGATACCGTGGCTGACTAAAAA